CAACATTTGATAAGTAGTGCTTATTCACTTTCGCTTCATTTTATCAAACCGCATTTAAGTTGAATCAATGTTACGATATATCTGTCTATTCTATGGATACAATTTAAGAAACCCTGTGCATTAAAATAATGTATTTTTAGCGGACTCTTTCCTATTGATATTAAATAAGAGACAAAAAATTGCGCCGTTATGTAGTATGCTTAAGGTTTCTGTTAAAGCAACGAAGACGTAGATTAAACCTTTTGTTTAGAACATCTAGTTCATGGACAAGGGTAATAAGTACCTGGAGGACCGAGCTTGGGTCGGTTTTTTTTGGCAAATCGTATATTTTGGAAATTACATGTAGATACAAATTACTGAGTAATGAAATATGCATAATAGTTTTCGATCTTACCGACCTAATAATAAGAAAATATGAAGTGGCGTTTTTCACAAAAGAAAGAACTTAAAAAAAGGGAAAACATAACAAAGTCATCTGGATCGACAAAAAATAAAAAAAAAAGAAAGTAATGATCTGAAATCGAAAAAAAGTAAAAAAATAAGTGCGTAAATGATCGTGACACGAAACACGGCCTTCTATTTCGGGGCCGCGCGATTACCGACCGAGCTATTACACCATTTTATTTTTTGGTAAAATTTACCGTCGTATTCGAATGATATTTTTCATTCCCTGAAAACTGGTATAAAACGTCATTTTCTAAAAATGAAACCTAGCCAGGTCGATTTTTCGCCCCCGAATCTACGCACGTACTAAATTTCACGAAAATCGCTGGAGCGGTATATATATATACAGCGTGTCGTTACCATCGCGACAATTTATGAACACACGTCTAACGCTACTTGCCAATAATCATAAAAAACTTTATAAGATAATAATAATAGTCTTTACTGGGAAAAAATAAAAATTTACAATATTTTTTGTTTATTTAAGATGGCTAGCGTGCTGGCGGTTCTCCTGATGTTAAGTGATAACCGCCGCTCATGGACTTTTGGTTTCAAATGTATTGCCAGCTTTTAATGAAGGGGGTCCCGGTTCAATCACCATACGAAACGCAGTAGTATAACACTTTGACTTTACGCCTTTCTGTGCCACCCGGTCTTTCTGTGAGGTTGTGGTTCTCCCCAGTCGGCCTGGCCCATTCGTGCAACAGAGAAGTCCGTTGCATGGTCCAACCACAATTCACATATAGAGCGAAAACAAGATTTTACTATACTAGTATAAATCTGCGGTAGGACAGTGATTGATAGTGACTGATGTGATAGGTCGTAGCTTTTTTTTTTAACGCTTTCCTGTATACAAGAAACATTCTATATAATTCAGATTCACAACGCCGATACGATAATCGCGAAAATCGCTTTAATTTACTCGTAGCTGCCACACACAGCCAACATCGGATTAAAGCCTAATCACACGCAGTACAAACCTATATTGCCGGAAGTACGAAGTGGAATACGTTATACCAAATTTCCGGAAATAGCCATCAACATTTTATAGAAGTTCTTCCGGCTAAAGATGATACGCAGCTTTAATGCTTTATGAAATGTGCTTTGTTGCAATATCATCCAACTCCCTAACACATTGAGGCGGGACATACACACACACAGTGCAATTTTAGCTGACTTCAAAAAGAAGGAGGTTATCAATTAGGATGTTAAAATATATATTTTTATGTATATTCGGGCATAACTTAGTCATATATAGATGGATTTGCAAAATTATTTTTTTGTTCGAAAAGCTTTCATTCCGAAATAGTCCAATATAAATTTCATATAGAACTCATGATGATTTTCGGAGATAGCAACGGAACTCTTCGAAATATGACAGGAAATCAACCGCGATTGCTGCTATCGCATAAATATGCATTGTTTTGCATGTAACGTTTTAATAGTAACGTACATCATTTTAGTAACGGAACGTAAACCATAATGCCGAGTTCACAAGTTCTCCGATTGTGTGACTTATGAATGAGTGTCAAGCACACTTGAATTTAGAATCCGGTCAGGTCATTCTACGATACGGCTCGGGTTGCGCAACACGTTGTACTCCAATATTACAAAACATGTTTTGAGTTAAGACTTTTACTTAATTATAACGTCACCCCATATTGGGGTCCAATTTACAACCAACAAATTCCGGTACGCAGCATCACCTGCCGCGAGATTCACGACGTCTTCGTGTCTTCTTTCCTGTTGGCAAACCCTTGTCCAGCTGAAGTTCCTCGGCCACGCAGAATACAGTGGATTACCGGAATATGACGGTAGATAGAAGGCGGGATATAAACCCACGACCACATTTTTTTGTTAACTTTAAAATGAAAATGCGCAATCACATCTGTCTGTATATCCAAGAAGATTCAACAAATGTATTTAGTCTAGCTGAAAACAAAATTAATACGCTGTTTTCGTATTCTAAACTATCACCTCAGCATTGGAGGCGTCTATTTCACAGTGGGATAAATTCGAACTGCAACTGCATCGGCAAAATCTCTTACAAACCGTATATCTTGACGTCCGAATACCAATTCAAGTTGACCCGTTGTCAATTCGCCAGCGCGATGGGTAATCTTCGTCAAAAAAACTATAGCTATACGAGTGCGAATTAACTATTATAACTAAGGTGATTATAGAAGACAGACATATAGGATCTTTTTTTAAAAATCTATTTTTACGTTGGTCAGGTCTTTAATTTGAAATGCTTAGAGATATTCTTCTTTATTTGCTTTAAATCGTTTTACTTTTTTCAGTCCCGCTTTCAGTTTGACGCTGTTTTCTCATACGAGCAGCATCTTTGCTACGTCCACCTATATTTTATAAAACCTAAGTATTAATATTAAATCATTAAAAATAAAAAGTTTAACAAAACAAGAACCTACTTCAAAAAACGGTTAGCACTAAAAAGTTTAATAATAATGTTAAATCAAATCTTGAAAATCTACCCTATATAACCTAACCTACCTAACATGTAACAAAATTTAACAATTTTTGGAGTCGGTGTCATTGTTCGCCATAGGTAATGGTTGTACACCATAACACCTTGCAAAAAAGTGAAAGAAGCAAGGTTTAAAGTGAAGAAAGAAGCAAGGTTTAATCAGTATTAAACCGGTTATCTAATAAATAGATTAAAAGTTAGTTATACGAATTTTATGTATCTAATCCAAAGAGTACTTTTATATATCTGATCTAATCCACCTAAACTGTGTAACAAAGTTAAGAAAATGATTTTATGGTCAGATCAGAGAGGCTTGGTATATATAGGTTAGATTTTCAAGATTTGATTATAGTGGATTTAACATTATTATAAACTTTTTTGTGCTCACCGTTTTTAGAAGTTGGTTCTTTTTTTGTTAAAAAAAACTTTTTTAGTTTTCGAAGTCTTAAAGGTATACAGAGTGACATTTCTAAAGGTCCCCCAATTCACACAGGATTTTCAGATTCGGTAGTATAATTGTTTATTGAAATAAAAACAAACTTTTTTTTTTTTCAAAAATAAAATTCAATTATATTCCCTAAAAAACAGATCTTGTTGACAATGCGGTAGTGATTCATAAATGCGTCGTATACTTTTGAAACAAACTTGGGTGCGTGTTAGTTATGAATGATCGTGCGTGAAATAAATGAGTAGCCCATAAATCACGCTCTTTTTGAGATAAGTTCAAATGAATGTAAGTAATTAATTACGACTGATTTTAAATATTTATCATTTTTATAGAACATTATTTGTCTAGAATTTAAAAAAAAAATGGATATACTTAGAAAAGCGTCCCTGTATAATATGTAACATAGATAATTCTAAATTGTACCGAGAGGTCTAATTGAATGTAAAAATAATAAATAGTTTATAATAAAATTGGTTTAAATTGCTTTATTAAGTAGGTACCATCTAGTTACTATTTGGTAATCGTTTTCAGTTTTGTCATTTACATTTTACGTTATGCTGCCATCTATTGGTCATTAACTAAGTATTTTTTAATAATATTTAGATTACGCTGCTGCAGAGCTGATTTATAAAGTTATGTTTATGATAATAATTCATGTGTACATGCAAAGACAAATATTTATGTAAATATTCGAATTAGCTAATGTTATAAGTACATTTTTAATAACATAGTTAAAGATTTTTTTTAAAATAACACGTGTTAAATATGATACTTTACTTATAGATATAACGCCATCTATGTCCACAATATGAATAATTAATGTTATCCGGTACGCATGCCTTTATTATTTTCCCTAACTAGATGGCAGCAGTATAACCGGATATCACATAAAAACATTTAAATTATTAAAAGCTAAACTGTTTATCATATTTTCATGAAATATTTAATGCTTATTTAAATTTGCAAAAAGCCAAAAAAATTATAATTTTTGGCTTCAAACCAAAGTTAGTAGTCATAAATATCAAAATAGTATTCTGAATACTTTGTAATAATAGTCATACAGATTGACCTACATTTGAAGCCCTTGTGAAAGGATTGTGCAATAGAAACGGTCATTTATTACACAACAGCGTATTCATGAGCAAATGTAGTCATTTTGCATCATTTACATGAATTTTAAAGCTGTTTTGAATGTTATGGAATATAGGCTTTAAAGTACTTTTATAATGTTTCATTCGTTTATGTGGTAGCGATAGTGATTAGAAATAAAAAAATCATAAATTATTGATTTTTAAACTCATAATTAATTATTTTTTGTAAAAATAGGCCATGACACACTTATTCGAATTAGGTTAATATTTGCTGCCCTTTACCGACTTATTTCAATGTCAAGTCATGAGTACAGTAGTTCCACTGAACCCGAGTTAGTCGGAATATCGAAGTGTAAGTGAAGTGGCCTAGAGACCTACATTTTGTGTTTTTTAAATTATTATCCGATTGGCCGGAAAATTTTTAAAGGGCGATGTCTTGCTGATCGACTTAAATGATAAATTATATAATTTTTTCGCGCATTAATTTAGCTATTCCGCCTGACCGTGAATAATGCACGAACACTCTCCTAGAATGAGTGTAGCGCAGGGTCTGGTCGCCTCTTCGAGCCAGGCGAAAGGCGAAATCGTTATAGAAGTCCCGAAGTACGAAATGAATTGCGCCCAGCCAAAAGAAACGGAGAGCATAGAAATGGAACTGAAAATTGCCTATGTGAATCCCAGTAGCGGTATGTATATGACGTTTTACTCAAGCTATTATTACCCTTCTAGTTTTATATTTATAATATGTGTCCTCTTGAGCCTGAATTATCGTAGAAGAAGCGGATCTAAATTCTTTCGTGAATCAAGTTTTATTGAAACGTAAACAAGGGATTTTAAAATTCCTTTCACTATAAGCGTAAAGTATTCGAGTTAGACTCTACTAAGAGCCTATATTAATTGGAATTTAGAGGGACATGAGGCTTGATGACATTTTTTTAAAATTACATAGGTATTATTTAAAAAGAAAGAAATGGTTGTATAATAATTTCATTTAAATTGTTGTACGTATGCATTGCGACAAGCTACCTGCTCGTACGCTCGGTTGCACGGTGTGGCAACGTCGCATTGGCTTTTGCTCTGTCCTGCGACCGAATGAGCAGTGTGAAACGCTGTTTTTTTCTTATTTTTTTCTCAAACAATAGTCTCAGAAGCACTGCTGGATCGGAATGATTGGTTATTTTACGACGACATATCCAAGTGAATGAGCGTCATTTGCAACTTAGTCAATGGTCGAGCTCGCTTTGTATTCCGAGGATGCGCGGCGACAGTGCTTTTTGATTTCGTTTGGTGTCAGTAGGGCACGTTTGCTCGCCAGCGACCGCAGTGCAGTGGAGGCTCCACGCGCTCGTTACAACGTATTAAGTAATAGTCCTGGACGCGACGTGAGACTTACGCGCGATTTGACTCTTGAATTATTAAACAATACCTCATATGTAATAAACATACGCTGTTTTATACGCGAAGAAACTAAAAACCTTTACATTTTCAATATACCTATACATTTTTAATATTTCTAAGCTTGTTCATTAAAGTAAGCACTTCTAGTAAAAATATTTATAACTTAACTTTTTTCACCCTCAGTAACCGCTTTACTAGAATGGACACTAGAATCTAGGCATTCTGTGCCTTCGTCAGCTATTGAAGTATTGAGACTTTCCTAGAAGCATTTTTTTATATTTAATGTTAATTATTTGAAATTTCATTGTTATGAAAAGCTTCTAAACTATCATTAATATTTTTTTGTCTTATTTTCATTGGGAAAATTTTAAAAAATAATAAAAACTATAAGAAGGTAGAAACTGAAGAACCAAAAAAAAGTGAGAAGTCCTTCAGAAAAATTATTTGTTGGATAGAAACGAATTCAACGGACATAAAAATTATGCGATTTCGAATTCTATTAGATAACTATATAAAGCATCATAACGATAGTTGCAAGGTCTACCTTGCAACTATCTTCTGTAATGAATAACTAATTATTACGGGCTAGTCTTTAATGAGATATTATGAAAATTAATGTTTTTCTTTTTTTCCCAACGAAATTAAAACCATGTAGGGTTCAAGTGATTACATATTTTCAATTTTATGATTGTTTAGAACCGTGATACAGATAACAGTACATTGACAACATAGTTAACACATTATTCTTGATATTAGCTATTGTACGAAAATAAAAATAAAAATCAATGAAAATGTTACGTTACATTACAAAAAAAACTATAATTTGGTAATGGATTGAATAATAACAGAAGGTATAAGCAAAAAAAAATAATTAAAATAAAAGAAACTAATAGTTTATTTTGTAGTTAACATGAGTTTTGTAGTTATTGTAAAGAAACTCAAGTCGATCAATATATTCACCGTTATAATTTTTACATCAATCAAAATTGGAATCAACCAGTTTGAAGTGATGATGTTAGGTATGTACAAATGATATCGCTTCAACGAAAGGCTTTTGTCCGAAAAGTATGCAGAATTACGACCAATTAAAGTTTATCTTATGATTCAATAAAACAGCATTTTGATATTATTATAATACATGTCTAATCTACCCAAAGATAGGTAGGTACGTTTGTATTTGGAAGAAGTCGAAGTGTTTTTTCTCAGTACAGCAAGTGAATATCTGCTACACTTCGTATGGTACACAATGTATTTCCAGAATATGGACATAGATATGACAAAATACTATTGGAGTTTTTCACATACGTTGTATATGCTATTGTCTGCAGAGTTGCATAGATTTGCATTCATTAAAAACAAAAATGGTTACAACAACGAGTCGCCGGTAAGTAACTTACTACTAGTAGCTGCGTCCTGTTCAGCATTCTCATTTTCTTCTGTGTGCTCGTATTATGATGCAGTTGACTGTGCCCTAAGAGAGTTTTATAATATAGATTGCATTATTGTATTCCTGTTAATAGTTAAGTTTCGAGTTTGGCAATCAATACCAAAGTCCTTGTCGTGTGGCTATTTTGAAACGGCAGTATTGAGTAGGTATTTTAATTATTCATGAAAAAACTACCTAGAATGATTTAATTATTTTATGAATAATTTCGCTTTTCCATGATGCCCTCTTCTAATAGATAATACACCGCTTGGGATGCCAAAAAATTAAATTAAACCTTGATTAAATTATTATGTCTCCAATATGACAACGAACGGACGTGCGTGTAATTGTATATTTCAAATATTTCAATATGCAAGGTGCACCACTCCATCGATCCATTTTACATTGTATGCGCAAAGCAATTTCAATTCACTAACTGACTAACAACAGAGATTCATAATAAACATCTTTCCTTGCGCGATATGAAATGCTTGGGTTTTATTAAGATTTATATATGATATTGCAAATGCATTGATTTTTTTTTGTTTGTATGAAATCAATCGTCTTTTCTCTCCTTAATCATCGTGAAATAGGACCAAGAATAAGCATAAAAGGCATGGCCTGCCAGGACTTAACAAGAACATATCTTAATATTATATAATCCATGTTATAGAAATAGACAACAGTGGTTGCTGCTATTATTGTGCTGTTATTAATTTATTGTTAAGAACCACCACATACGTGGGGCGCACTAAAAGTTTCCGGAATGAATAAGAAAAAAATACAATCGAATTAAGAACCTCTACTTTTTTTGAAGTCGGTTAAACGAATTTTTGGTTTCTCAAACTATTCTTCCTTCGCGTAAATGTACTTTTTCATGCGATTAAACCAATTTTGAAAACTTTTGTTCATAAGTGAGTTTTTCATTCGCTCTTACACAGCATTTTCTGTTGAGGCAAATCGTTGACCGCGTAATTGGTTCCTTAATTTTTGGTTACAGAAAATAATCACAAGGTGCCCGTTGGGGCCTGTATTCAGGATGGCTCATAACTTCTACGTTTTTCACCTTCAAAAATTCGTTTGTCTGCTTGGCCGTGTGAAAACTAGCATTGTCGTGGTGTAAGTTGATACGGCGTTAAAGGTTATTTTTACGCAATTCGTCATTAAACTCCGGTAAACAAAAGATCGTGTACCATGGTACGACGATTCTCTAAGCAACAGTAGCCACATGTTCTAAAGCAGCCGTAGCCAGTTTTTTCGAAAAAGAAGCAATCATCCTTTTAAATGCCATTTGCACGCGCGCTGCTTTGGTCGGTTTCGGCTCATCTTGAAAGAACCATTCGCTCGATTACTGTTTTGTTTCGGGATCGTAGCTGTAAAGCCGTTTCGTGACCCGTTATTATGTCCTACACAAAAATTGATGCAATGCCATGCTTACCATTGAATGAAGGGGTCATTCAATGGTAAGCTTGGCATTGCATTAAGTGACGCGGTCCGTTTTTTGAACTTCCGACAAATTGTTTGGGATCCACCGCGAGCATAGCCCAAATTTTTGTCTAGGATTGATTATATGCCTATGTTTAGACATAGGCATATAATCAATCCTAGACAAAAATTGAATCCTTAGGGATGCCCGAATTTCATGATACGTCACATGCCTGTCTGTTTCGGTCATACGGCGCGCAGCATCAATGTTTTTGTTATTCACAACGGTGGCCGGGCGACTATCGCGAGATTTATCACTGATATTGACACGACCGCGCTTGAATTCCGCATGGTGCTTGGTGCTTCGTCGCTGAAAACAGACTGAAGCCGAGCGATTTATTGTTCTTTTGTTTTATGGTGATTGCCATATAACCATAAAACTTAAAATCCAGTCTCTCCCTTTTATGATGTTAGTAAATAACGCAGCGGTAAATACACATATAACACAATTACAGCAATTTTCCATAGTATCAAGTTAACTACATCTTAAGATATGACTGAATCGAAATTATCCTTGTCATGCAGGCAGTAAATGCTGTAGAACTATGCCAGTAACCGAGCCCCTTTTCCCTATTACTAATAAAATAAACAATGGGCGCTACGCCATCGAGCGTGACGTTATTTTGTATGGTCTCGTATGGCTACTGCCATACCAGACCATGTAAAATAACTTCTATTTTACGCTGAATTATTTTTATAACAAATGTCTTTTAGAACTCATTTAAATTGCATTATTGTAAGCGGACGTGGTAAACTTATGATACGCAACGGCAAGATGTCTAAATGAAAAATCAAGTGAAACATAACATTACATTGCTTGGGTCCTTTTTGCTTGGGTTAGCTTTGTGTTCAATTGCTGGCTATTCACCAACGTAAGCATTAACGGTAGGCACAAAAAGTTTTACGATGTAGGCAATTTTTTGTTCACGTGTGCATTTGCCATGCTCTTTTACCGGCCAAGGTCGGGATTCTATCTTGAATATTCGTGAAAAACTTGAGTGATTTGCACAAGCAACCCACAAAAGGCAGAGAAAATAAAATGAAAAAACATAACTTAAAAAGCACCGATTGTGACGGTATCAACTTGCATTTAAAAGCAATTGTGGCTTTACCTTTTTTTTCATATTATATATATATGGAATGCAGCTTAATCTATAAGGTATTTTCCATTTTGTTCCATGATCTTTTGCTATCTATCTGACTACTTTAAAATTCCACGCTCATAGAAAGTATGATCCTATTTGGCCAAAAACTGAGTTAAGTGAGATTTATATTACAGCGTCATCGTCATTGAAAGTATTGCCACCAAGGGAGTTGCCCAGGGATCAACATAAGTATATAAAAAAACAATAATTAACAATTTCAATTCGGAAATAATAAAGGAAAATATGCCGAAAATGTTCATTATTGCAGTCGATATTAATAATGAGGTAAAAAAATAAGAAAATATCTGCTCAGTGAACTTTTAAAGCTAGGCAAAAATGACAGGTAACAAATATAACAAGAAAATATATCATCTATGGGAGCGCATGTCTCAGACATATCTTAAGCTGAAATCCACAATGACTTAGTTTCCAACCTAATAAGAACGATATAGAAAGTCGAAACGGTGGTAGGGCCACGCAGCAGCTTCGGCTGTTGCACGATGGGGCAGACTCGTCCGGGTGGGTACCACGACCTCACAGAAGACCGGCGTAAAGTGGAAGTATAATACTTTCGCATTTCGTCTGGTGAGTGAGGTAGACGGAGCCCAATTTCCTGAAAGATTGTCAACGCATCTGCAAACCCTCGGGTGTAGCACATTTCTATGGGCGGCGGTATTCACTTAACATCAGGTGAACCGTCTGCTTGTTTGCCAACTTTTTACATAAAAAAAGTCAAGCTATATTTAAAAAAGATAACAATATTGATTTATTGATTTTACGCATATATTATACATGGTTAAATGAAACTAAGGATTTTATCGCGTTTAATTAGATTTTTTAATTTATTCCAACGTTTCGAACCCTGTTCAGCGTACATGTCTGTCCCGTGACCATGGTCGCTGGAA